CTACGTGCTCACAATGGTAGAAGCCACCACTGGATGGTTGGAAACCTACCCTGTGCCTCATGCTACAGCCCGTAACACCATCCTGGGACTTGAAAAGCAGGTCCTTTGTAGGCATGGTACCCCTGAGAGGATTAAGTCAGACAATGGGACTCATTTCAAGAACAGCCTTATAAACAGCTGGGCTAGGGAACATGGCATTGAGTGGGTGTACCATATCCCTTACCATGCACCTGCTGCGGGAAAAGTGGAGAGGTACAATGGACTGTTAAAGACTACCTTGAAAGCGTTGGGTGGGGGATCTGTCAAAAATTGGGAGCAGCATCTAGCAAAGGCCACCTGGATAGTTAACACCCGAGGTTCCACCAATCGAGCAGGCCCAGCCCAATCCGAGCCCCTGCATAAAGTAGATGGAGACAAGGTCCCAGCAGTACATCTCAGAGGTTTGTTAGGAAAGACAGTTTGGATCAATTCTACTTCAAGTACAGACAAACCCATTCGTGGAGTTGTTTTTGCTCAAGGACCGGGTTGCACATGGTGGATAATGAGGAAAGATGGAACAACACAATGTGTACCTCAGGGAGATCTGATGGTTGGGTGAAGATTATGAATAAATGCCCTTGTCTGTATATAATGTATGTGTTGTAGGGTTAAAATATATATATATATATTAATTTTGATAATAAGTTGACGATATGGGGATAAGGGGTGGAATGTCCTGGGGTGACTTTATGATACTGGTATCCCCAATCGTCCGGTTTCTGTTATATATTAAGTCCTGCACCTTTAAGACTGTCTTCGAAAGCAAGAGAGGGGGAAGAAGAAGTGCACAGTGTGTTAAGGAAAACATCACTCCCACACACCCCGCTCCTGGACTGTGTTGTCTGCAGCACGGACAGACAGCGGGACAGAGCTTCTCTCTGGTTTTTAGTTAGTTTTAGCTAGCTGAGGCAGAGGAGTTCCCTGGACCTTTGTTTTTTTCCAATTTTCTTGGATCTGTGCAAGCCTGCTCTGGACTGAACACCCAGCCAAACCCCGGGAGCTCACGCCTGTGGCCCACCAGGGCCTGGGCCTCGGCACTTTTCCAGCACTGGAGGGACTGATAAGAACCTGAGCGAGCCGAGCTGCACCACATGAAAAAAGACTTTTCTTCCTAGACTTACCATCCCATCGAACAGCAAGAGGTTTTATTATTTAATATTACTCAATTTCTGTTAAATAAACAGCTTTTTCCACTTTTCTCCACGGAATTTTTTTTTTTTTTTTTTTCCCCTTTTCCCAGACCCGTTGGTGGAGAGGGGCATTTCCCTGTGGAGATCCCCATTTGGAGTTTTCCTTCCTGATTTGCCCTAAACTAGGACACCAGACATTTTTATTTTCTAGTATAGAACATGGGACATGAAGTCCTCAGGATCTTTTGACTTCATAAAAAAATACACTGAAGTTTCTTTTCACATCCTCGTTGATGATCATCAGTTGTAACACAGGATTTGTTGTTGTTAGTTTAAATCTAATCAGTGTGAGATGCAGTGAGTTTCTGGTCACATACCTTTTGACGCTGTTCATTGAAATAGTAACATAATGAATGTTCAAGAAGAGAATCTGTTTAAGTGCTCTTCCAGAAAACGATTGCGTATTACTAACTGGAAACAATTTGCAGTGGCATCACAGGACAAGAAAAGAGGAATCTAAGTGAGGTCCCAGGGGATAGTTTTGGAGGAGACTCTGAACGTGACTGATTCTTCTCTATTAACCAGATTTCACAAACACTGTTACAGATTTTCACCAGGAATCTGAAAGTGGGCCTCTCTTAGACAATACACTTCAGTAGAACTAAGTGAGAGTCACCATGTGGTTAGGATTCAAAATTTCAATCCAGTAGCCATCAGGATCTTGTACAAATGCAAGTCCTTTCATTTTACCTATTAGAAAAAAAAAATTAAAAAAAGAAAAGATAAAATTAAGACAACATGAGTGGTTCTAAATGTCAAATATAACTACTTTGAAAAATATTTTTCCTTTTGCATTAGAATTAGTTCAAATTCAGATGGATAATTCTAGAAACATCCAGATTAGTTTTTAATCATCATAAGGTCTTTGTATGCAAAACTGTCAATCCTACTCTCAATAAAGCTGTAGTTAAAAAGTCACTTCGGAATTCCATCTTTTGTTGACTGAAGTTTCTTGCATGTGCCCCCGTAAGTGTTCGTTCTCAAAATTCAGAAAAATATTTTTGTGCTCTAGGGATGTTTTGATATATTTTCTTGAACTAGCTTTGCTGGTATAAAATTCTGTGTTTCTCTGCTCTGTTCATCTTCTGTCATTCCTGAGTCTACACTGAAATTTTACCCTAACATTTTTACCCTGACATGGTTTACAGTACACTTCTGCATCACTTCATTAAGCAGAGAAATGTAGGACATGATTGTTATAAATTTTACTGTTGGAAAACATATTACTCATTAAATCAGGATCCCCAAGAGCTTGTTTCAACAGTAGATCAGGATAGCACAGCTTAACATGCTATCTTTAAAGTGTTAACCACATACTTGTAGTTATTGTTACTCCATTAAGTTATTTACTGTAACAGAACCAGCCTAGCTCTTAATACATTCTAGTCACAAAAACAACTAAGAAAACAGATGTTTGATCAGTAAGGTAGGAAAATAAACCCCATGCATGATCTCCCAGCCTGCTCTGCAAATAATGTGAAGCCCAAAGCTTCCTTCTCCTCCTTGGAATTTGCTGCACGATTTTTGTTTCTGAATTTTAAAGAAGAGCTTTTTCTCTGCCCCTGACCCTTGTCTGTTTCAGGAGTTTTTTTTTGTGATTCCCTCCATTTATAATCTAAGCTTGTTCTTCTATGTACTTTCATTCCTACTACTGCACAGCTCTAAGTCAGCAACTCTCATTTCAAGCCTCTCTAGGGTTTAACAAATGGGCAAATTAAAAAAGGCTCAGAAACTCTAAAATGCTAGAAATAAAAAGATCTATTCTTAAACCAAAGAATCAAGTTAAGTTTTCAGCTACATTTCTTATTTTGCTTCAGCTGAGAACACAGTGAATAAGATGAAAATCAGTTAAAATCTCTTTCCAATTACTAGTATTACATGTCTGGTTTTGAATGCATCAGTCCTAAAAATCTCATGAGAGGTTTCTTTTTATGAAAGAGAATCCAACTGAAAAATGCAAGACTTCTCACCACTTCTGCATTTTGGGATATTTTTGCATAGACATTCTTTGCTTATATACTCTCTAGACATTTGTGCTATACATTATGCAAGTCAATTATCATACAGACTAATGGGGCTATTCCTACCAAAGCTGAACAGAATAGTTAAAAATACAGTAACTAGTAGGTTGTATAGTAGGTGTTAGGTGGATTTACATGAAAATAGCCAGAAAAGTCAAGAATGACTCAGTTTAAATGGGTGGGATCTATTATGTTTTCTGACTTATTTTCCTAAGACAAGAACCATGCAGATGTGCCATGTGAATTTGATACATGTTACAGTAAATTCTGTAACAACTCTAGGCAGGCATGTATACATGACATGTAAACTATGACATCAACAGAGAATGTGAATTTTACTGAAGGTCAGGCTGCTTACAGAAGGTACATAGCAGACTGATGAATTACTGTTAGTGGGATGGATCTATTGCTAGTTTGCCCATTCTATAAGGGGGTGCAGGGGTAACTGGTTCTAGAAACCTCTAAGCAGTGGCAATTCCTAGCAACACATTACACACCTTTCCAGGAAGATCTCCTAGACAGGTTATATTAAAACCAAGGAAAAAAAATTACTTGCATTTCTGATCAAGACTTACCATCATCTGGTTTCTTCACAAATTTCACTCCCAGCTCTTCAAGCCTCTTACAAGTTTTATAGACATCAGGAACAGCAATTCCAATGTGTCCTGTGCAAGAAGGTAAAAAGAGTGAAGTGCATTTTAAGCATTGCTGAGGGTTCTATGAAAAAAAGTTGTTTAGTATTTCACACTGTAGTTCACATAAGCTATGACTATATTTAAGAAAACATTCCAGAAACAAGAGTGTTTTGGGTATTAACATTACTCTTCTTCAAAGAGCTGTCTTTTGATAATGCGTTTTAAATACAAAAGTTCGAGTTGAAGTATCTTATGTTGTTTAGACAAGAACTTTATTTAGAAAAAAAACAAGATTTTCAATCAAACTGTTATATTGGTACTTTCTTCCTTGAAGCACAGCTCCATAACAAGATTTTGTTGTATTTGTTGTTTAATAGCACATGGAGTTTATTGTTAATGCTGTTTTTGCAGAGACTGACACTAGTGCGACACAAGGACTGAGTTTACAAATCAGTTCAGGAGCTTTAAATGTCAAGTGGCTGGACTGAGTGTGAAATTTATTTCACAGCAGCGACCTTACAAGCACTCAGAGTATCAAATCAAGCCACATAAATAATATCCTCAGTGCTACAGAAAAAAAGAATTGCTCTTGTACCTGAAAATCAGTAACTAGTGGATTATACAGCAGAAATCCAAAATTAAATCAGTTGTAACACCATGATAATATAATACACAGGCACAATCTTCACTCAGTTGTTACAATTAGCATGTGTTTGCTTGCCAAAGTATTAGATTCTTGATAAATAGTTTAACTACGGCTCATAATTCTGAAACACATTGGCTCATTTATTTTCATCATCTCTCACAGTATACATGTTGAAAGAAGAGAGATAAAAGGCAAAAGGCAAGTTTCCTTCTTTCCAAGAGTTAGTACATTTTATTTCAAAGCTTAGAAACTATAAATACAAGACTAAAGACCTACCAAATCCTCGGGGATCTGAATTGCCATTGTGATAAGACTGACTGTCATCATTTTCAGTGCCCCAGTTGCTGTAAGAAGAATTATTACATATTGAAGAAAAGCATTAAAATTAACAAATACTAAATGTTCAGTTTCTTTGGGGGAGGGTAAGTTCTTTCTCCTAAAAAACCAGAGAATTTCAGCTGTTGGCTGAAATTCATTAAACACAAAGATCTTCCCCGGTCATGGTCTCCAGGGATGGTGTTGGGGCTAATCCAGTCATGTTCACCTTCCTTCACCATTATTTATGGTTTACATTTGAATGTGTCAGAAACACTCCAGTCTCAGTGAGATTAGAAAGATTTTGCTGCACAAGTCAGTGTATCTGCCATCCCTGAGGAACAACAAGTGAGGGTAGCGAGGCCTGGAGTTAACTAAGACACCATTTGGGAGATTGTTTCTGTACAATTATAACGATTAGTCACATTACTAAATTGTCCTGTTTACAGGAAGCATGTATTTTGACTTAATACCCCTTTAGATTAGATTCCAAAAGCAATAGCTCCCATTATTAGGATGCTTTGGGGAGCCAAATAAAGGTCTAGCCACATTGGGTTTCCCTAAGTTACTTACCCAGATGGCATGCATATAAAATACAGCAAGTACTGCTTCATATAAATGTTCACCTAGCAGTTTGAAACAGCTCTGAAAGAGGAAGATTAACCTTTCCAAGTATACAATCTCAGATATATTTTAAGGATGTATGACAGTGAAGATGTCTCCACAGTAATCATTAAAATTTTTATTCAATTAATGGGGTTTACACTTATCCAATACTGTTTAATCACTGTTAGCTAAGTGTCATCTCTCTTTACATAAACACTTACTGTGTCAGTTCAAGTGTAGCTTTTCTAGAAAAGGTCCAAGTTGTTCTCTCAGCTTTCTCTTTTGGGATATTGTTTTTATCTTCATACCCCAGGAAATAGAGTGAGAACTTCATAGTAGGAAAGTCAAATTTTTGAAGCAGTCTAAATGGCAACAATTATTTTGAAATAGTAAGTTAAAAGGGTAGTCAGGTAGCTTGCAAATAAACCAAGATGCTTCCCCTATGGAAGAATTATTTCCATTAATTTTTGCTTTTCTATAATCCACACCTTGAAATAGCTACATTTTAAACTATCAAATAAAAACACTCCAGAACACATTACAAACCTACAAAATTTTAAAAAAATCGAATGTTTAGACACCAAATTACCAGTAACTGAATAGAAAAGTCAGTACAAAGGCTTGCATCTTCAGGTTTTCACACTGATACTTGACTGTGTTTTCACATGAAAATCTCTAACCAATTTAAAATTTCACCAAGGAATAAAAAGATCTACTTTCAATCTTACTCATTCTGGAGAGCTCACTGGCACCAAAGTTTGAGAACACAGCAAACATACCTTTAGATGAAGTACAGTGAAAGTTTCAATAGCTAGCTATAATGACAAAATCCCTTTCAGATGTGACAAATCAATTAAAAATACATGAGACATATGTTTTTATGTAGGACATTTAACTGGAACAAGCAGGCATGCAAAATAATCTAATTTCTTTTTTTACAAGAAATTTAATTTTTATTTTCACACATTTTCACTACAGTGGAAGTAATTTATTTTACTTTAGTCTGAACACACCTCAAGATGCTTAAAAACATAGTATTTTGTTTTGAAATAACTCAAATGGCAAGAATGCACAAAAAGCCACAGCATAAATGTGTTTGGCTACTGCAGAGCATCTGCCTCCAAAAAGCCTCCTCCAAAAGACTGAGCTTAGACCTTATTTTCACCCTTTATTGCCTTGTTCTCATGTGATTGAAGGTAATCATAAGCCACCTCTGAGAACTAGCAGAAAACTTAATTTCAAGATTTTTAACAATGACTCCTTACTATAAGCAGAGTCATAAAAGTAAGCAACCAGTTAGCTGCAGGCTCAGTGAGGAGGAAGTAAGCAAGTTGTACTGATAATTAATGACCTATTTAAGAAAAAAAGGAATTTCTAGTCAAGGCAAATATTAGTTCATTTGAGCTCAGGCATCTGCAGCTTACTGCCAGATTGCTCAACTGAGCATCAACTGATGGGCCAGCATTGTTTATGTCGTTAGACCACTTAGTATAATTACATCCAAAAATATAATTATTTTCAGAAGAACAGGAGAAGAGCCCAAACTTAACATGGTATACAAATTCTACTCACGTCATTCCAAGTACCCTTGTATAGAAATCCAATGACTTCTTAGGATCCTTTACTCTTAACATTGTCTGCTGAAACATGAAATCCTGAGGGAAAAAAAGGTTTATTCTTTATACATCAGCCAGAATTGAATTAAGGGTATTAACAAAGGTGCCAGTTAGTAAAGAATGTAAAACTAGCAGGTTGAGAAGTAACAAAGGGAACTACATTAAGTGTAAATAAAACCTTTTGTCCTAATTCTACAAGTACAAATTTATTAAATAAATGTATTTGTAATGTAATATTTAAAACAAATAAAACACATGAGTGGCATCATTCAATATTATCAAAAAAGGATATCCTTACATTTATTACTCTTTTATGAGGCTGTAACATACATGGCCAACTTCACACACAAGCACAACAGACACATGAATATTCAATATTGAGCGTCCTAGATTCCTGAGCTCATTATTACTTCATGGTACAAGTATTGAGCTTCTGTCAAGCTTGACTGTATCTTGGCAGCAAAACCAGCCTGCAACTCTGTAAGGATATTTTCTTCAAGCCCCAGAGTAACTATATACCAACAGCCTTGTGAACGACCGAGTGGATAAAAAGTAAGTAGCAGAATAATTGACAGGGGTAACGAAGAAAAAAAAACAATTACAATGTTCTTCTAAGAAAAGGTGAAAAAGTTTGGGGCGTTTTGACGGGGTTTTTTGTGCCGCCCGGGAGGGACTGGCTAAAGCGCCCCGGAGCGCTCGCTCAGAGCCAGGACAGGCGCGGGCCCGGCCAAGTGTGCCCCGGGGGGTTCAGGGGTTCACAGGGAGTGGCTCGACCCGACCAGCCCGCCCACCCCTCGCCACGACCCCGAAACCCGCCGGGCTGCCTGACAGTCGTGCCCAGAAACACTTCGCTGCCGGGCCGGGACCTGGGCCGGCTCCATGCCTGTCCCCATGCCCCGCACGTCCGCCCTGTGAGGCGCCATGAGGGGACCAGGAAGGAGCAGGAGCCCAGCCCCGGGGCGCGCCCGTCACCCCCA